AAGAAGTCGCCTGTGCTATAAATGGACGTGGCAAATTGATGTGCTGTTATAGGAAAATGATCATGTTAAACACTATAACCTTTAAGATACTTCTTCTCACTTATATGACCCTCCATACACTAGCAGCCACTTATCTCTGTAAGCTGATTCACCCACACATGCCTTCTTGATCTTCTTGCGTTACAGTGAGTGGGCTGTCAGCTTCTTCACTGCTGTGGAACATCAACACTCACCCTCAAACCATCACACACTAACTTACCATTAATGAAGTTTGATCTTAGCATTGGTTGCACATTGTTGTCTTGAACTTTATGACTTTTACTTTTAAAATGTTACGGTGTCATTGTACATATATATACGTCGTCCATACTGCACATGCATTCAGAAAGCTATCACACACAACTGATGAGAAATGTGCAGCTGTATTTACACTAACAAGGAACTTCCTGTGTGGCACAGAGCTATGATTTGAGCAACAGGGCAGCAAGCAACACAGCGACAAGTGGCAAGGAAACATGAGAAACCGCAGCACATGAGATGAGCAGATGAGCAACACTGTGACACATCGCTATGGAGCCATGTTGCGTGTTGAGGCTCTAAGAGATTCACTGACAAGTGACATGACAACATGGCAACTAACAGCATGGAGACATACTACACAGTGCTACAGCAAGCATAGCAACAGACAACAGCACCCAGCAACATTGTGACAGGGTGACAAGTGCCACTGTAACAAGGTGACTAGCGACAGCCAGAGAAGCGACACAGAGCTACAACAATGACACTGTGACAGAATGACCGGGAACAGTGTGACTAGTGACATGGAAAAACAGTTACACACTGCCACAGTGACCACTGGTTTCTTGAGTAAGTACGTGAGACACCTGAGTGCAGAGATACGATTGAAGAAACAGGGAAATGCTGTGACTAGCAACACAGTGTCACCTAAACAAGAGGCTGGAAACAGGCAACAGCGTGATATCTGAGATGAGGTTTTCTTAATTTTATACAATTTATTGATGATGTAGTAACTTATATGAGTAAAAATCATAAAACTTAGAGCAACCCCAGGAACATGTGTCTACCCTGAACGCAGGGTGACAATGTCTCCTCTTCTGTTTACAATGATGAAGGTTAGGTATAAGGGTGTGGCATGAATGAGGGATGTGATTATCACCTGTAGCTTTAATTGCAACCTCATTTATTTCACACACAGTGACCTCACTCTCACTCTCACTATCACTAGAGTTCCTACTGATTTTCCTCAGGATTGCATCGACTCTCTCTAACCCATGTGGGACTTTGAGTGGATTCAGAGTGGATTTGTAATAAGGGATGTTGTTAAAAGGTTTTCGAGCAGCAGCTGCAATTCTGCTTTTACCGTGAATAAGGTGACACAATCTTGGTGTGTTTTGCAGTGCTGAGGGAGGAAGAGCGATACAGGAAGGAAAATTTGCTCAATACTTCATTTCAGTACCTCGATAAGTTTAATTTCCCCCGAGCGTGACCAAGCCACTAAACACCTCTACTGATCTCACACCCAACCTACAGACAGATAGCACTTCCCTCTACCCACTTCTGTGGCGTTTGAGTTGTCAATCAATCAATCAATCAATCAATGAGAAAAAAGAGACTAAATGCTATATAATATTCATTACTTATCGAGGCAAGAGTTTTGGAAGTGGAGTGGGCGGAGTCCTATGTGTTATGTTTTTTGGGTAAGGTGGATTTGGCAGGTCAGATTGGGGAGATTTATGTGTCTTTGGAGTGATATCATTGATTAAATAAGTCATCTGTTTACCATGGGGTCTTTTTGGATGGGTGGAGTTGTGTTTTTTGAAGTGGTATCATATTGGAGGAGTAAGTCATTTATTTTATGGTAGAATCAGAATGAGTGGATGGAATCACATTTGATGGGTGAAGCTGTGTGTTTTTGGCATGGGGTCATAATGGATGGGTGGAGTTGTGTTTTTGGAGTGGTGGCATATTGCTGGAATAAGTCATGTGTTTACTGTGGGGTCATATTGGATGGGTGGAGTTGTGTTTGGAGTGGCATCATATTGGTGAAATAAGTTGTGTTTTAGGGTGAGGTCAGACTGGGTGGATGGGTCCACATTTGGTGGGTGGAGTTGAGTATTTTTGGTGTGGTGGCATATTGCATGGGTGGAGGCTGTGTTCTTTTGGAGTGGTGGTATATTGGTGGAATAGAACATTTGTTTTATGGTGGGGTCAAACTGGATAAGTGGAGTTACATTTCTTGGGTTGAGCTGTGTCCTTTTGGCATGGGGTCATATTGGATGGGTGGAGTCTATGCTTTTGGAGTGGTATTATGTCAGTGGAATAAGTCATTTGTTTTGAGTGGGGTCAGACTGGATGGATGGAGTCACAGTTGATGGGAGGAGCTTTATTTTTGGCATGGTGTCATATTGCATCAGTAGAGGCTGTGTGTTTTTGGGGTGGCGTTATATTGGCGGAATAAGTCATATGCTTTATGGTCGGATCAGGTAGGAAGGATGGATGAAGTCACATTTGATGGATGGAGCTGTGTTTGGCATTAAGTCATACTGGATTGATGGATGCTGTGGGTGAGTCAGGTATAGTAAATGAGGTCAGGTAAGTTAAAGTGGTTGGAGTCAGGGTAAAGTGCATGTGAAGAAGTAGGTGGGGTCAAGCAGCTTGTTGGCGAGGTCATGCTAATAGAAAACGTTGTTTGGAATGAATAATAAATGTGTGTTCCACATTCTCCATGATGCTCAGGTCATGTGATTGTCCAGGCCTGTTTTGACGATGTCATCAAAAAAGAGAGTTTGCCTGGTGCTCTGCTGATGATGTTGCTTCAACAGAACAGCAGCTGATGGAAATCCACAGCATTTCACACTTCCCTGTCAACACGTGTAGATGAGAACACACCTGCCTCTCTGTATACTGTAATTATTGAGTTGGGTGGGATTACCCATGAGCAGTTGGGGCATCTTGAGCACTTCCCTCATTCAGTCCAAAGCAACTCAGACACACACTAGAGGACAGATCCAGGGGATTTCACCAAGCACTCTTCAGTTCTGCTCTCCACTTACAGAATGTGTTACAATCTGGGACTCTTGAGTGTATGTGCACACACAAACACAAACACACACACACACACACACACACTCACACACATGCATAGACATGCTGCAAATATAGACTGCAGAGAAAACTTGACAGATGGGTAAACAATAATTAGCTCAGTAATGGTGCTGGACACACATACACTAACCAGTTTTGGTGTTGGATGCATGCCCATAGACACACACACACACACACACACACACGTGCGCTTGATTATTCTGTTATACAGACTACAACTCTTGAATACACATGCAAACACTCAGATACGCAACAAAAAGGACACAACTTATTTCGCTATGGTATCTCTCTCTCTCACACACACACACACACACACACACACACGCGCGTACGTTGTAAGTCGTTCTCTAGGTGACAGTGAAAACTCACTGCAGATCAAAGGCTCCAAAGTTTTAGAAACTTTGTGAAGTTCAGTAAAAATGTAAAGACACAACTCCATTGATCTTTTATCTGACTCACACACTGCAATCAATTGGCGAGTGAACTTTTCACATACTCACTTTGGTGTCAGAAGGGTGTGTGTGTGTGTGTGTGTGTGTGTGTGTGTGTGTGTATGTGTGATAGAGAGAGAGAGAGAGAGAGAGAGAGAGAGAATCCCTGTGAGGTTCTCGTGTAATGTGTGTGTGTGTGTGTGTGTGTGTGTGGAGCAGATGGTCTTGCAGTTGATCATTTTTGATAAAGTGTTATTAATATTGCAGCACACCAGATTCCATCTGCATTCACTGGCCCTAAGGAATTGTGGGAAATCCTCCAACTGCCACCAGGAATAGGATTCTCTCTCTCTCACTCACACAAACATATACACTGTACACACACACACATACACACACACACACTCCAAAATCTTGTATATGTGTTCAATTAGGCTGAAACCTAGTGAGTATAAAGGCCATATCATGTGATTTACATAATTTTCATCCTCATTAAACCATTCAGTATGGATAGGGGCGGTGGATAGGGGCGGAGTCATACTGGAAGAGACCACTCCCATCAGGATAAACGTGTTCAGTCTGAAGAACTTCATATTGACTTGTAGTGAAACTTCCTTCAATCCCTTTATTCCTCCTGAACAACTCAAACCTCCTCCACTCTCTCACACACAAAACATGATACAAAGATAGAATATATGACAACTGACACTTACATGTGTGACAATTGTATACACACACACACACACACACACACAGAGTGAAATGTGGAGAAGAAATCACTAATGAGCTCTCTCCTGTCTGACACTGACAAAAGCAGCTGTCAAACAGGCGCTGAAGTTTCAGACACCTGATCAGGCTGATGATGGTGGTGATGATGATGATGATGATGTGTGTGGGTGTGTGTGTGTGTCTGTGTGTGTGCGTTGACGTGGATAAGGTGGCTAGAGCACATCTGGACTGCTCACACAGGCGCTATACATATGAGCTAGTGTACAATAACACACTCACAGCTGTTGGTTGTTTGGCTCAGTTTGTAATTGTGTGATGTGTGTTATATGTGTGTTATGTCCTACTTCTGATATATTAGGTGAGAGGCAAAAGTGAAAATTGGGGGTGAGAAAGTGTGCATCACTTCCTGTTCACAAATTTAGACACAAAAGTCTTTTTAGCTTTGACAGTTACATCCTTTAGATACATTACCAACATTAATTTCACTAAACGAGATTAAAAGAGATGACACTAAAAAGTTTGTCAGAATCATAATGTTGTTGTTGTTGTTGTTGTTCCTCTTTCGGCTGCTACCATTAGGGGTCACCACAGCAGATCATTGGTCTGCATGTTTGATTTTGGCACAGTTTTTATGCCGGATGCCATTCCTGACACAACCCTCCCCAATTTTATCCGGGCTTGGGACCGGCACTAAGAGCGCACTGTTGCGGTCGGTTCCCTGGCCGGGAATCGAACCCGGCTATGGTAGTGAGAGCGCTGTGGCCTAACCACTAGTCCTCCAGGGACCTTTTGTCAGAATAATAATGAATAGTAATAAAATTCAATACCGGCCGATACTTGTATGGGGTATCAGTTTGATACCACGCTCATGTACTCATAATCATTCATAAATATATATCGGCAATCAAAGCAAAGCAGACTGCAAACTGTGCTTGTGAAAATATCAAGAGGAGGAATTATAGTTTTTTCCTCTAATACAAATAACCTGATAAATCTTATGGTGATATATTATGGTGTTTAAACAGTATCTTTACATTTAAACAGTATCTTATAGAGAGCACAAGAGTGGCTAACATGCAGAGAAACTCTTGAGCGTGAGAGCACTTCACTTCTGCGAGCAATGAGCACTGAGATGTGCATACTCTTTTGTCAGTGTCTACATGTTGCTCACGAGCCTCTATGAAAGATGCCATGCCATAACATTTTAAACATAAAACTCAGCACAAAGACATCATTGCTAGCAACCCACATAAACAGAGCTAAATAAAATGGTCTGTGATGCTCCTGATTGATTGTAAGTATGATTACTTAGGGGGCACAGTGACTTAGTGGTTAGCATGTTTGCCTCGCACCTCTGGGGTTGCGGGTTCTGCTCCAGGCTCCCCCGCGACCCTGTGAAGGATAAGTGGTATGGAAAATGGATATGGTATGGATGATTACGTAGATTATTTTGGTACCAGTAATGGTATAAGTATTGTTTTATATATATATATATATATATATATATATATATATATATATATATATATATATATAGACAACGAAAAACGCTAAAAATGAATTTGGTCATATAAAGCTAATGACTCAGGAATAGACGATATAAATGGTCATCCTAAGATGTGTTCCCTACAAGCTAGTGAACATTATGAAGCACCATGGTATTTAGACTGTCTCACTTTCCTTATATGGTCATTGTTTCCTGGTCTTGTTAACCTATTGTCATGGCATGTTTCTTGTTACTTCTCAGTAGTCTGTGTTTTAAACCCTACTGGTTTCCTGTACAAGCCTTACACAGGATTTCTGATCTATTCAGATCTATTTTCCATCTCTGGTGTTAATTTTACGCTGGTTTTGACCCCGTCCTGTCTGTCTATTTCTCTGAGAACGTATGTAAATAAACACTCTCCGCATATGCATCCTGAATCTCAGGTTCCAGCCAATTATTGGGTTCACTATTTATTTATTGAGATTGAAGACATCTTTCTGGGCAAGTCTCAGGTCATACTAAACAGATAATCCATAATCTAAAGCCAGACAGACAGATCAGGTTTAATACACGATGGGAAAATAGGGGACAACAAGGATTAGGTGCAACCAATCAACAAAAAGGGTAAGGATGAATGTGGACAGGAAAAGATGACCATATAAGGAAAGAGAGGCGCAAAAAGGACAGACTGGTCTAAAGGATCAGCAAGGATGAAATCAGGGTGGATGTGACACATGCAATAAAAAATGTTTTTTCATAAACCGATATGAAATGGGGAAATGGGAACATGAGCACACACACATTCGTCAGTGACCATTGCCTATTCATTTTCAAACCCAAAGAAATTCATTTCATTTGTAAACTTGGAGGAGAAAGAGCACAAAGACACACTCGACTGAGCTCAGAAAGATCCACAGCCTCTCAGGTAATGCTGTGCGTGTGTGTGTGTGTGTCTAGGTTTGTGTGTGTTCCTCTGCTCTGCTGTATGACTGCAGCAGGAGAATTGGTTTTGTAGCTGCAGGGAACGAGGCCTTCGACACGATAAACAGAGATATATGGACTCATCACCACCTCAAGTGAGGACACATTACTCTGTACCCACTGTCCATACATTCACACTCCTGTCCTCTCAGCATATACACTCCTGTCTTCTCTCCCTATACCATCTCAACATTTCTTTATCTACATGACAACTATTATCTATTACTATCTCAGAGCAGAGGAAGAGCTGATTTTGTGCTATTCAGGTGTGTGTGTGTGTGTTTCTGGTTCCTTTAAGGTATAATTCACATAATTCACAAATTCAACATTTGCATAAAAACATGTATTAGAATATCTTTGAATATGGAAAATCATATTTTAGATGGAGTATGGTAATATAGGATGTGCATAAACAGAACAAGGTCATGAACATTAGCAGTATAGCAGAGAATTGTTTTTTTTAAATGCTTTTTTTATTGTGCTTTTTGCAATATACTATATATTGTTCAAAGATGCTTTAAAGACACCGATGAGCAAGCCACAGTGGTGAGAAGAGAGAAAACTCCCTAAGGTAGAAACCTTGGGAGGAACCAGTAATCAACAGGGAAGGCCCTCCTCCTCTGGATAGAAATGGGAATCCTTGGAGTGGCCTTAATAATGAGTACTGCACCACTCACTGTGACTGCTGCACTCACAAATGCAAGACCATAAATCACAAGCAGGGATAAGAAGAATCACAAATGGCTAGAAGGCCACTGAATGCCCTAACAGCTCCCAGGTGACTGCAGGTCGATAGACCAGTATATGGATAGAAGACTGGGAAAACAAAAGTATTTAACTAGCCAACTTTCACTTTTGACTTTTTCCCCATGGTGAAATATGGTTTCTAGCATGCAGTGAAAAGCCAGCCACCTAGTACATGTATATACTCTCTCTCTCTCTCTCTCTCTCTCTCTCTCTCTATCTGTCAAGCGGCACATACTAATCCTGAGATGCCAGTGATCCTGACCCCTTCTGCTCTCTAGACCTGCCTGATCCATCCTGATGCCCTATTTCTGGTTGGATTTCTCATCATTTGGAAACCACTCGCAGCTGCTGAGGATGGCCCCACACAGACAGCCTAAAGTTACATGAGATTAATGAGGATGGTACCACTTAGAAACCATGAAGTTGGCTTTGGATTTCAATTGATTTGAATGGTCAATATCAAATGATATGATATGGCTCAATACTACAATTGATACGATAGCTTTTGCACTGCAATTCCCACGAACAGTTATGCACTCAAGTCTTCATCAGTGAACAGTTGACAACATCAACAAAATAGACTTCATGTGAAAACTATAATGAACTTTCGTGGTTACATAATTGCATTTTTTGAATATATAGTATATAGTTATAAAAGGGAATGATTTATAATTGCACTATCCAGTGTCAACCAGATGAGAATAGGTTCCATTTTGAGCCTGGTTCATCTCAAGGTTTCTTCCTCATATCGTCTCAGGAACTTTTTCCTTGCCATTGCTGCCTCTGGCTTACTCGTTAGGGATAAATTAATAAAATTAAAATTTATATCCTGAATTTATATATTTCTGTAAAGCTGCTTTGTGACAATGTCCATTGTTAAAAGTGCTATGCAAATAAAACTGAACTGAATCGAATTGAATTGAATATTCCACAAACCTGCCCCTCAGTACCCGCACTAAAACCTTTGCATCCCTCACGTTCCCCTCTCACAACTATTATCTGCAGATCCCTATTCACACTAGGTTTCCAGTGGACCTAACACATCTCCCATCACTACACCACCTGCCAGAGGATATCTCCTCAGAAACTGCCACTAGTTATATTTGCACTTGGTTTTGCTGCTGGTGTGGTCGGCCCTGGGGCATGAAATCTTGGTAACCCCCAGCTGCTCAAATTTCAGCTAGACAACTTCCATGATACCACAAATTTAAGCTCCAAGATTCTGGAGACCTTGTAAGGATTATACACCTTCACAGAGCAGAACATCCCAGGGGAATACACAAACAGCCAACTGAGGCATTGGAGAGATAGAGAAGTAATAATACAAACTTGCCTGTTCTCTCCACTTGAGCAAACTGTCCAGAGATACAAACATCTTGGGAACAAGAAAAGCTGGCCTAAGAGTTGTCAGCTTAATTTCAAATCAGTACGGTTTTTTATACAATATTTGTGTTGAAATAACAGGTTATGGAATTACACAATTATGGGTGAGTCTTGGGCATAAAATGTTTTTTGAAGTGCAATCTTTAGGGTATCCATCTGGGCAACAGTGGAGTATAGCATCAAGACCAAAACATCCCTGGTTGGTAGGGATTGCACAAGGTCTCCTCAAGCCAAAAGAGAAAGAAAGTAGAAGGCTTCAAGAATTGGTAAAGTGGACTTCAACCAGCCATTTATTCTTCAGACTGGTGTGACCAGGTCTCTGTCATTTCACAGATTCTTAGATAGTGACCAATGCTGCACCAAGTCAGCAGGCTCTGTCAGGGGTATCACAGGAGGTACAGCACCAGGTACAGATTCTTGGATAGTGATCATTGCAGCGCCCAGGTCAGCAGGTGCAAAGGAGCTAAACTGACCACAGGCCAGATTGGTGTAGCTAGGTCTCCTTCATGAGTCCCGCACGAGGTACAGCACCAGGTACAGATTCTTGGATAGTGATCACTGCCTCACCCAGGTCATCAGGCACAAAGGAATCACATTAATCAAAGACTGGACTAATCAGAGTCAGGCACAAGACCACCGATTGCCCCACTGGGAACACAGAATCATAAAAATGCCTGTAGTTGCGAAGAGAAATGAGCAAAGAAAGACTACTGCACTTAACTAGCCCAACTCTCACTTTGAATTTTTACAAATTTCCCTGACCAAGTATCCAGCACAGCTGTGAAGCAGCATTAAACCTAATCTATTGTTGCTTTCAAATTGAACTCACAAATTTGTGCATTCAACATAAACTGCAAGTGTATTGTATGTCAACTCATCAAGTGGTCAAAGTCATGGGAAAACTATTGCAAGGCAACCAGTGTATAGGGACAGCCACTATAAACAATCGAATGATTGCAATGAATGATTTAGCTTAGTAAGTCTTTTATGCAAACAATGTGAAGGCAGAATCTCATCGGAAATTGTTGGGATCATTAACTTGTTTCTTAGATTTATTGGGAAACTAAGAAATGTCTAAAATTATGTTTGATTAAAATTACACTGTGATTGAACCTAGTATCAACAGCTCCAACACAATTACAAATATGATTCTCTCACAATCTGTGAACTCAGAGCTTTCTGAAAATT